ACTGAGAGTCTTAAATTTTGTAATGTATGTTATTAATATATGTTATTTTTGTAAACTGATGGGCTGTATTGCCCAAAGTTATATCCTGAATAAGCTTATATACATTCTACTGCAAAGTAAAGACTCTAAAAATAGATTGAAAGTTTATCCTAATTTTTAATATTCACATCTCAGTTTATAAATTAAGTATTACAATACAAAAATTTAGATTTCTGATGAATTACACAGTGCTTGTCAGTGAATTTTCATCTTGATTTTTGGGTTAAATTTTAAAAGGATTTGTTTGGGACTGGGTCCTAGCTGGTTTCTAATGGACCTACATGCATCAGATATATACACATGTATACATAGCAATAGATACGTGCAATCTCTATAATACTAACAATGAAATTAATGGTGTTTACTAGTTAGGTCAACTGTCATTAGGTGTGTTGGGTTTCATGGTTTTTTTTTAATGTACATGTACAAAGATTGCTGTTGAGGTTTGGTCAGTTAAAAAAAAATGTAATATACAAGGGATATTTTAAAGTGATTAATACATACAATTTTTGGAATTAAAGATATGATTGTCATCTTCATTATCTCAAACCCTCAAAAGTTTCAGAAATCAAGCAACTGACATGCAGCTATACTTTTTAAGGAGGCTGGGGGGTCGACAAATTGACCATCAGATATATAACTTAATATCTTAAGCTGTCAACTATCATTTGGCAAACAAAAATTTCATACATTTTAGTTTTAAAATTTGATCATTTTTGTATATCTTTATATGGAGCTCTTCTTCTAAAGGAGATCAATATAGTCTGAAAATGGCCACAACCACCCAGCCCTCTTAACTGCATTCAGTCAATATGCCTTAATTTCTTTGAAGTAGTATACTTATTATTTTGTGATATTTAGGGCCTTTCATGGAATGCGGGAAAACAATTAGAATCGCATTGTCCATCCATCAACACTTTGTTTTTACACGATAAGTCAAACAATTTTTAAATTTTGTACAGAAGTTAATTCTTTACAATGAAAGGAGAACCTATATTATACAATCAGATTATACTTGTGAACAGTCTGGGTAATTGGGAGTGATCCAGTTGTTGATAGCAGATTTAATTTTATTTAATTTTTTTTTTAATAATTGTTTGAAAGTTAGCATTAATAAAATATTATCAGGTGGAGATGTAAATGGAAGGATTATTAGTAGGTTGTACATATATGAACATCTCCACTGACAGAACCAGAGATTCTGCTGCCATTTTCAACATACACTCATTTAGGTGCTGGTTCCAAGGAAACAACTGAATCAATGCTGTTGGCTTAGATGTGATTTTTAAGTTAACCTAATTTTTTTTATACTGCTCTCAAATTTTATGCTATTGTTAGTGCATAACGAACAAGTGTAGATGCTGGAATTAATGAGAGTACATGATAATGAATTCTTTCATCTGCCTTTTTTAAATTTCTAATTTTATTTCCTTATAATATTTAAAATCAAAAATACATTACATGTGTTTACAATTTAATAACAGGTATTAGGGATAAAAATCTTAAGTTGTGGATCCAAAGGAAGAGGAACTTTTTCTAATCACATACAATGTATGTATTGATTTAATTTGAAGAAAAAATATTCAAATATAGATCCAGAGAATTTTGTGGTGGATCCAAGGGTCTAATCTTTTGAGAGGGGGATCCAAGGGGAGTGGGAAATATATTATGAATTAAAAAGTTTGAGATATTAAAAGTATTTAATTTACATTTAAGAGGAAATGAATTTTGATATTTATGTTAAACCTATGAATAATTGAAAACATAAGGCATGTCTAATGTTCATGGCTCTTTATCGAAAGGGAGAGGAATGTAGCTTTATCTTATAATATGAAGTTTTGTTTTAAACATAATGTCAAAGTTACATAACAGCTCAATATAAGTGAGTTATATAGATCCAAAGAATTAAGTGATGGATCATAGGATCCAGGTTTTTGAATGAGGGATCCAAGGGGAGTGGGGAATAATTTATCAATTTAAAAAAAAAGAAAGAGATATATTCATGAAAGATTTGAAATATAGCTATGTAACTCTTCTGTATGGGAGATAAGAAAATTTATCCTTTATATGAATGAGTCATATATTATATATGGGTTTGAATTATATATATAGATTTAAAGAATTTAGTGGTAGATCCAAGAGTCTATTCTTTTGAGTGGGGGATCCAAGAGGAATGGGACATAATTTTTTAATTAATTTATAAACAGCATTTGCATATCCTTATATTTGAAAACAAAGATATTACGTGTGTTTACAATTTGATAACAAATAATAGGGATCAATTAAATCTTAATTAAGTTGTGGATCCAAAGGAAGAAGAACTTTATCTAATCACATATGTATTGATTTAATTTGAAGAAAAAAATATTCAAACATAGATCCAGAGAATTTTGAGGTGGATCCAGGAGTCTAATCTTTTGAGAGGGGGATCCAAGGGGAGTGGGGAATATTTTATGGATTAAAAAGTTTGAGATATTAAAAGTATATTTATTTTAAAGTAAATGATTTTAATATGTTAATCAGGTCTCAAGAATAAATGTTTTATGTTCATGGCTCTTTATCGAAAGTGAGAGGAACATACCTTTATCTGATAATATAAATTATTTTTTGATTTCAACAAAATGATATCAAGTACACGTACATAACTTAAGCTTAACATGAATGAGTTAAATAGCTCCATAGAATTAAGTGATGGATCCAAGGATCCAGTTTATTTGGGGATCCAAGGGGAAATTTGAAGGGAAAAAAGAAATATGAAATAAACATTGAAATATATATAGCAATGGTACTCTTCTGTATGGGAGATAAGAAAGTTTATTCTTTATATGAATAAGTCATATAGAAAATATATCTATGTAACATGAATCATACATAGATTCAAAGAATTTATTGGTGGATTCAACGGTCTCTTCTTATGAGTTGGGGATCCAAGGGAAGTGGGACATACCAAAATAATTTATGAATTAATTAATAAACAGAATTTGTTATCTCTAAGAACAAATGATTTTGCTATACTAACAAGGTTTCAAAAATATTGAAAAAAAATGAGGAGCAGACATGTCTGAAATTATTATATCTTGGAAATAAGTTTGAAAATAAGACAAGACAATAATTAATGTCTCCATTCCAATTCTCATGAAATCAAAGATATATAATGAAGATTACATGGGTTTTTTTACCCTAAGTAACAAAAACGTGGGGGAAAAAAACCCACATGTAATTTTTAGTCATATATGGGTTTAAAAACCCCACGAAAGATTATATGGGTTTATTTCCCCCATGGGGAAAATTTTAAACCCCATGGGGTTTTTGTGGGGTTTTTCATGGGGTAATTTTAAGTACATGTTTCCCCATGGGATTTTTATCTTTGCCACTTAATATCTCAAAAACTAGCTAAAAATGTTGGATTTTTTATTTCATAAATCAATTTAAATATAAAAACCCCACCATTTAAAAAAAATCCTAAGATAATAGCTTTAAAGGAAAAGTGTGCGCAAGTTCGGAAAAATGTCCATTCCGAAGTTGTCCGTCCCACTGTTTATTTTTCTTTTAATAAAAAGAAAAATAGATACCCTCTATCTAACAACCAGAAGGGCGCATCACTTTTGCAAATATTAAAAATCTCTCGTCAAACACGATATACTGCTTCAACAATCCGAGAAATCGCTTAAGGGGGCCGGAAGTTTATATTCGACTTGAAATTCTAAGGCAAAGCCCTTTTTTGATTGGTCAATATATTTGTAAGATCTATTTTTAAAAAAACAGGTAAAGTTAGTACTGATCCCCCAAAAATCTTTCAGACAGTAATACAACGTAATATAAGAACATTCATTTTATTTACCCCAAAAATAATCTCGACAACTGATCAAAGCGATCATATTTTGTAAATGTCGAAGATATTTTATTGCGAGACAAAATATTGAGTCGGTTTTAAGTCCCTACTTACACGCACCTAACATAATTAATAACACTGACATTATTGATGCACTGTTTGAGCGTTATCCGTGGAGAATATTGACTTTGTATATTTAGAACCAGTTAAAGTATGTACGCGCGTGTGTGAGTTGGGGGGAGGGGGGGGGGGGTCACTCTAAAATTATCCCAGGGATTGTTGAGATCTGCAATTTTAAGTATTGCTGCAATAAAGTAGTGGCATGGCAACATTTTTATCTTTATTGTCGGATCCAGTTTTTGGTGACAGATATACATAAAACATGCATAAGGTAATATTTGAATATTATATATTATATTGTTTTACTGATGTGACCCCCTCCTAATTTTTTTCAATTAAGCATATGCCATGTATATATATAGTTGGGTGGTTTGATGTTTATTGCTTTTAAAAAGCCGTTCAATTAACTCTACATAATTTATGCTGTTTTTTTTTTTTAATTTGAAGTACCTTCTTCTTTTATTAAAAACTGTATAAATTAATACAGTATATTTACAAGGTATCTTTACAAAAAGTGTTTTATTTTTCCCATTTTGCATTTTTTTTTATTTGAATATCGAAATACTAGTTAAAATTTCAAAGTATTACAACACGCCGCTTTAGATTCACCCAAAAACTGACAAATGCAGAAATCCCATTAGCATATTGATGTAATCTTCCTGCTCTCCCCCCCCCCCCCCCCCTCCGCCTTTAGCGATTTCTCGGATTGTTGAAGCAGTAGATCGAAATTGACGAGAGATTTTTAATATTTGCAAGTATGAAGCACCCTTCTGGTTGCACTGTCCTTAAGTTTAGACCTCGAAAGACTGACCACAGAAAGAATATGGTTGCAGGGAATTTATTTCACGGAGTTTAAGACGAAAAAACAAGCTGATGTGACCGACCTAGAAAAATTCAAGATGGCGCCCGATGTGTACATTGTGTATTATTAGCTAGGGGTATTTTTTTTTTATTAAAAGAAAAATAAGTAACGTCAGGTGCCTGCGCTGCAGTTTATCTGTATATTTACCTTCAATATCCTTTAATTTAGACTGCTCTAACTTCATTTTAGACTGCTCTAACTTCATTTTCTTCTTTGCTTTAAAATTGAATGAAATAGAAATCCTTGCAAATATAAAGTAGTTTTAATTATAATTAAACATTGAAAGAAAATAAGGTAGTGTGATATATACTAACCTCCTTTTGTACAAATCCAAAGGACTGACGACATTATAAAGATCGAAAAAATCGGCACAAATATGCCCAGTGAAGTGTATACGATGCTACTGCTTAAATTGAATTCAACTTGTGCCTCGTCATACTCAGGCCTGAAAAAAGAAAAAAAATTAAGTAAAATTAGATGTTGTTATAGAACACATATAACTGTAATTTAATGTCTGCCTCTGAATGTACACTAGCTCCCTTTTACCTTGGTTGCAAAGAAGCCACAAAAGGTATGATCCATTATTTACATAAAATATAATTTATTATATATATACATGTACGGAAAAGTGCAAGTATATGTCATGTTTATATTTTTTACACAAAGATCATTAACTCAGGTATAAATAACTTTAAAAAATGCAAAGAAATGTCCATTGCACACACAAAAAGAACACAGATCTTTTAAACACAGTATAGCTTTTCAATTGGCTTTCACTGCGAAAAGAAATTCACGAACGAAATATATGACATAAGTAAAATTCTAATTATGTTTTCAAAATTAAAAAAAAAAAAAAAGTACACTATTAGTTGAATACATCAGATATTACTGTTTCCTCTTTTATAATGTAAATAGTGGTGACCGTGGTAAATCTTAATTTTTGCAAAGTTTTTTTTTTTTCGTTCATTTTGGCTTTTTGATCAAATTCTGTTCGGTACATGTTCGTCTCTTCGCCCGTGTAGCAGTCTGTCCGTTTGTTACATGTACAATTTTCACATTTTCGACTTCTCAGGAACGATCGACTGGCCCAATATCAACCAATCTTGACCTCAAAATATCTTTAGGTAAAGGGGATTAATATTATCACTGTGTTGAAGTAGTTTGTTTGAATAAAGGACTACACCTTCTTCCTAGAGAAAATAATTATGAATTAGTAAAAATTTTATGCATTCTTTAAAAAATTCTCCTCATAATTTACAGGTGGGAGCATTTTTAGGGAATGTAGATTAAAGTACTTAAAGGCCTTAATTTGCTATCAAAATTTTAATTGGAGTACCTTTGAAAAACAATAAAAATTATTCTCAAAGTCCAAAAAAATAAAAATTTCAATAATAGGAATGTCAAGATTATTCAATTAATTAAGATGCATCCTTACCTAATGAAAAATTAAAAGGACCATATAGTCTAGGCCTTTCAACTGCCGCCAGGGTTCGATATAAAGAACGATAACTCATTACCGAAACTTGTTTAAAGCAGGTGTGAGGTATCTAGTTGTTTTTTAACTGGTCAATTTTCAGCATTTCCCATTTTTTCCTTTGCTGTCAGCGAAATACAGTGGTTTTAAAATTTAGCACAAATGCTAAAATTATATGTAATGTAGTTACCGACACTGTGAAATAATATATAAGTGAAATTTTTAATAAAAATATAAAGTGAAATCTACCCCCCTTCTTAATTTCAACCTGATTAAATTTTTATACTTGGTCGTTCTTCTTCGTGCTTAGTAAAACGAATAAGATAATTAATTGTTGCATTTACTTGTAGAAATGTATATCTTTAAATAAGAAGCACAACAATGCACACACAAAAAACATGACATTATATTTTCTTCCTCGTAACAACTGTCAGAGAGAGTTAAAAATCTTGAATACAGTCCGTTCCCCATTCATTTGATCCCGTTATTTCAGGTAGAGTGAGGATATTCTCCTTGTTTTGGTCAACCCTTTTGTGTACAAAATAATGTAAGGAACCCTTTTGTGTACATAACAGTACCATTAATGATAATTTTTTTTAAAGATTTAATTAAAGGTATGTATATGTTATAATCTTTTTTGAGAATTCCACATAGCTGTAAATCTATCTATCAAATGTTTTTTTACCATACGCGCAACTTGAAAAATTAGTTGAAAGGCCTACATATACAATATAATAATGACCAAAATCTACCCCGAAAATCAAACTTTGATGGAGAAGACTATATTTTATGTTCTTACAGGGTTCGACATTAACGATAGTCCGTTAGTCTCAGACTAATACATTTTCATTCGGACTAATAAAATTTATGGCTAATTAGTCCGAACGGACTAATAAATTTTTCTGGAAAAAAATCAATAAATTACCGATGTTCGATTCTTGACAACGTTCACTGAATGGAAAACCCCTCATGTATTTTAGCTTTCTAGCTTCTTGGCGGGAAGTTAGGTAATTCCGAGCTAATTAAGTCCTTTCACGATAATTGCAGTACTACTCTTTTGCAGGGTAAATTAATATTGTTTGGCGGAGTTTTTGTCGAAAGATAATTAACTGACGTGTTTTAAACAATTGCTTTTACGTCATATTTATCCAAAACATATCATTTTGCCCTGCAAAAGAGCAGAACTGCAGTTATTGTGAAATAGTCTAATCGGCGCTCAATTTTAGGACTGATTGATATGAAATTAAACATTTAAGTGATCATGTTTTCGTAAGACACATAAAGAAAGATGTCGGACGTTTGGATGTAATATATAGAGAAAAACGAACGAGATCGGGAATAAGATCGTAGTTCCTGATCACGAGATTTCAACGAATCTTGGAGTAAAACATTTCACGTAAATGCTTTGTTTATTTCAAAAAAAGTACATTGCAATGTTTATTTTTAAATTACAAATTACAAAACATTGATTTTTTTTTTTTGACGGACTCATAAAATCGCGTGCGGACTAGTAAAAGTAAAGAAGCACTAGTCTGGCCGGACTAAAGCCTAAAAATGTTAGTGTCGAACCCTGTTCTTATAACCAGCAGGATACCTGCAGACTTCAAAGCATTACCTATTTTCATTAGAAATGACGTCATATGTTAGATATGACGTCAAGAAGATGACTTAATTTTTACACGTCAATGATTTTGAGAGAAAAAAAGTGTATTTTACGTGAATATTTTTTTTAAATCATAGAGCACAGGACGGCTCCAACTCAGTCTTTTAATATAATGTTTAAAACTATAAAATCATGCAATGAAATATGTGAATATTGTACTGGAGCAGGCTTGCGCTATGTAAATTCTATATATAAAATTGGGAAAAAATATTGTCCATTTTGTCCTCTTTCTTAAAAATAACAGAAAATCCCTATAGCTTGAGACGTCACACAAACAAGAATTGCCAATAATCTTTTTCCATGCAAACTATAGTTTTTTTTTTTTTTTTTTTTTTTTTTTTTTTTTTTTTATTTATTTATTTATTTATTTTTTTTTTTTTTTGTTAATTTAAGGTTTTTCATACTATATATACAATTATGTACATTTCTAGAGATTTTCAAAATTTGACTTTCACTGGAGCAAAAATATGCTCATAAAGCATAAAAACATATATATAGCTCTTTGTTCAAATCTAGCCCCCCCCCCCCCCCCCCCCCCCCGACGGAAGGTTGGGCCACACTGGACAATCAAATTTTTATATAGGAACTTATGGGAAAAATATCCTCAAGAACGGCAAAATTTATATAGGAAAAATATCCTTAAGGTATGTCACTCGTGAAATTAGTTATATCAAGGATTTTTTGAGAAGTATAATTTAGATAAGTACTCATATAGCATTACTCAAAATCGCAAAGAAAATTGGGGGTCAGTGTGCAACTTACTGAGCAACGGTACAATTAACTTGACCTTTTTGCACTTAAATTGTAATTCTTAGGTTAATTCTCTAATCTTTATCATATTTTATCAGAAGTAATTATTGCAATAAATATAATCTTATTTTAAGTAAATGGTTTGAATAATATTTATCATTGAACAAATCATGCGAATTAATGCGCATAAATTATTGTGTGACCTTTTCGCACTAAAAAGTATCATATTTGGAGTATAAAAAATCTAAGTAGGCAATAAAATATTTTCTTGTATCAAACTTTTTATGACTTTAGTTCTGATCGGTTTGGGGTATCGTGAGGTTTAAAAAAATTGAAAGAAAAAGTTTGGGTCAGTGATGTAAATTTTGAGCTTTTGGTTAAAATATACGATTTTCAGGCAAAAAACTGTGTAAATTTTATCTTGATTTTTTTTAATATATCTTCATTTCTTGACAAAGCCTGTTGAGTGAATGTGTAAAACATGTTCTAAAAATATAAATTGAAACCTATATTTGATATTCCTAGCATATAATAACGGAAAATATTCTCTGAGTAAAAGTATGTGGGGTTAAAGTTAATAGCATTTAAATTCAACAAATGTGCAGATTTGAAGAATTTTCTCCTAAATATCCTTCCACCACAAGAAATAGTCCCTCATAAATGTTGTTTCTTTATGAATTTTTGAGCAGTTTTTAAATTGATTGTTGTATAATTTGCGTTGTTTAATTCATATATGTTATAAAAATTGAGTTATAATAAATAGTTTTGAAGTTAGAGGTTCTGACTAAACTTTTCTTAAAAGCTGACGAGTGATATACCTTAAGAACGGCAAAATTTATATTTTTATGGAAGCATCTTCAGGAAGTGTAGATTCAAGTTTGCTCAAATTTTGACCCCCGATAGAAGGGTGGGACAACATTTTGCGGTCAAAGTTCAAAGTTTTACCTAGGAATTTTAAAAGAAATATCTTAAAAATCTTCTCAAGAACAGGCAATCCATAAATAGTCATATTGATACAAAACATTCAACTAACCTTTCAAATAATGCCTCAATGCGGAGGGGGAGGGGGGGGGGGCGGAGGTGGTAATTCGGTATCACTTCAGACTTTTCAACACTGAACTGATTTTTGGTTTTTCGTAGCCAATGTACTCACGTGACCGATGTAGTTCTTAGGACACTTGTTGTTATTTTTGCTAAACTGTTTATTGAAACCATTAAGTACTTTGAAGTCTGAATCAATTGAAATCGGATGAAGACTGTTGAAAGAGTGCTTCATGTATTTGAAAAAAGAGTCCCTTTGTTGTTCGTTAGGGGATTTGGGGGGGTGGGGGGGTGGGGTGGCAATTTGTACTTTACCCACGAATGACCGTTAACGGTAGTTCTGTCAGTAGAGCGCTCGTTTCGTGATCGGGAGGTCGTGAATTCGAATCTCGACCGAGACTGACCATAGTCGATAAAAAATGGTCAACAACTGTTCCTTCGCCATGCGCTCGGCACTTTGAATTGAATTTGAATTTGAAGTTGCGGGTCCTTCGGATGAGACCTTAAAAACCGACGCCCCGTGTCACGGCAGGCGTTGGCACGATAAAGATCCCTCTCTGCTCAATGGCCTTGAGTGCCGAGTAAAGGTCAAAATATGAAGCCCTTCACCCGTATATGGTGACGTCTCTATATGAATGAAAAATTCTCGAATGGGGCGTAAAACAACATACAATCATTACCCACGAATGTACATCTCAGAGAATATTTAACTTTATCAACGTACGGTTCAGTGAATCTTTTGATAACACGAATTATCGACGAAATTTCGTCCTAACAAAATAGTAAAATTTTTGTCGCACACAAAGATTGACCTCTACGAATTATTCCACAGTGGTAGAATATTTTAGAAACCATGGCAAAAATAAGACTTCGTTGAAATCAAAGTATCGCTAGACAAAAGTATTTTCCTTTATACTTATATAGACAATGATAACATTTATTTTAGAACAAGTACTTCATATGCTATGTGACAGAATATATTTAGTTCGTTTGCTATTAGCGCATGATGCTCAGGTAGATGTTTACAAGAGAAACTTTCACTTATCGAACTATAGTTCCGTTTAGAAAGGGGGTCTTGCAGACGGTTAGATAATTAAGATGTTTCTTTATCTAAAATCATTTGAAATACCTTGTGTTTTAATGTTCATATGTCACCCACCTTAAATATCACTTTTTCAGAAATATAAAGATTGATGCAGTATACCTGTGTATTAAAATATCATGCTCTATGTCAATATTCTGTGTTGTTATGGTAGAGTTTGAGCTTGATTACTGTTCTTTATCTTCAGATTTTCATTATTTCAAAAACTGTAGAAGTAGAATTTGGGGGGGGGGGGGGGGAAGTAGTATATCGAAATTGAAAGGCAGAGGACATACTTCTTTCAACTGCAAAACTCTTTTGGCCTTTTACCTACATTCTTAAAATGCAATTTTAATTGTTTGAATTGATTAAACTTTATCCAAAAAAGATGTCCCTGTCTACTTACATTGATGTCGAATTCGAATATCGTTCACGTGTCGTTTGTTGTTGTCTTTTTGTTGTACTATCGATATAAGTGGTTGTAACAGTTGATTCGGGTAATTCGTAACATTCGTTATCTAAAAGTATAAGAAAAAGGTTAAAACTAATTATTATCAGGATTAAAAGCATATCAAACCTACGAAAATATATCATATGGCTATCGTTAACAATGATAAATTTGATATATTAAAATGTTATTATAGTACATGTGTAAACAACAGGAAACACTTGGTTACGCAACACCATCTGGTTGAAGCAATAGGGAGATTTACTGCCATGTACAGTGGCTGCAACGTTATTGTTGACAAACCAATCGTGCGTGATCGTTCGTGTATCGTGCGTGATCGTTCGTGTAACGTGCGAGATCGTGCGTGTATCAGACTCAATCGTTTGCGGTTTCAATCGTGCGTGATCGTGCGTTTAGAAACGTGTAAATTTCGTTTTGTAAGTTTTTATCGGAATGTTATTTGTTATACAAGCATTTCGCTTGTCTGTTTTTTTTTTCCCAATCCAAATAAAATAAATGAAGCGCGATTTACATAATTGAAAGCAGAACGAACTAATTATCGCTTGGAAATAAACAACATAGTAAGTCGTACAATATTATGTTCTCGTCAAATAACGTGATTTTTTGTGATGAACCGTATTTGGATGTTTAAGGATTTTTTTATCTGATGTTAATTATGTTTACTGCTAATTATGATCAAGATATTTTTAAAATCAATAGATCAAAAATAGATATTTTTACAAATTAATAAATAAACAATTCTCAATGCTTACATAAATATTTAGTAGGCGAATGTACATGTACACGACATGATTGTCGGGGTTTCGTTTATCAGTGGTTATCTCTGGGGCTTACTTTTTATCATTTTTTTTTATTATAATTTCTGCAAATAAATGATTTGTAAAATAATTGTTGATTTTAGAGATTCACAAAAAGAAACATGGATATAACTTATAATTTAATTCATTTTCATGCCATTTTCCCCCAAACTTATCCTTTTCTGCATAATATGACATTCAATTCAATCAAAACTCACGGTCCACCTACATGTACATCTTCTGATAGAAGGGAAAAAAAGTTTTCCTAAGTCGGTGAATTACGTAAAGAATTATTTGTAATCTAAAATAATTAATAAGTCTTACATGTTTTTAGTTCCAGAAATATCCATTTTTTTTTTTTTTTTTTTTATTTCTCAAAGTCGATGAAATAATATCAATAATTATTTGAAATCTAAAATAAGTATTAAGGTAGTCCGATCCTCAGGTTCTGAAAATCAGCCTTTAAGTAATTGAAAATGCTCACAAAAACGTCTCTGATTTCACATAATAACGTGAGTTTACCCATGGAATTTCTTCAAAGTTCATTATTATAGTTAATCATATTATATAAGGAAAACTATTAAATCTCAAATATATTTTCAGGAAATGTGAATAAAAACACCAGCTATGCATTTTCTAATTGAAAATTGATCAACAAATATAATTTAGGATAGAAAAATATAGGTATCCATGCATTTGGAGAAAATTGTATCTTTTTTATGCTTATACAGTATTTTAGTTCCTCTTTTTACTTCAATTGTGGTATAATAAATAGTGTAAAAAGCTTGCGCTATCATTGCTAGACATCACATAGCACATCTAATTTCATACAATGCTAAAATCAGCAGTAACTAATGCTAGACTAAAGGAAATTCAATTTCTCTAAAAATGAATTTATTTTTTTTTCTTTTGTGGGGTACAAATTTCAACTTTTTACACGACCGTTTCTAAGACTTCATAGAACCTTAATCATATTAAGATGCATAAAATGAAAATTGTTGCACGAAAAGATCTCAATTTCAAGCTTCATTTTGAGACTTTTTAAATAAAATAATAAATTTAAGAGTTATCCTTCCTGCCTGAGGATCGGATATCCTTAAGCCTTCTTTCGTTTTGATAATATCCATTCCTAAAGAATTTGAACTATTTTGCGAGAAGAGTGGTGCGTTTGCGTTAGCAATCGTGTAAGATCGTGTAACGTGTAGAATCGTGTGCGTGAAGGATCGTTCGTGTAACAGATTTTATCGTGCGTTAATCGTGCGGAATCGTTCGTGTAACGTGATCGTTCGTGTAAGTTGTCAACAATAACGTTGCAGCCACTGTACATAGTTTTCCATTTTTTTCCCCAAAGATTTTTTTTTTTTTTTTTGCTTTTTATACGGATACATAAAACCATCAAGAATTGTAAAAGTCATACATCTCTCTATATTAAATAAGAGAAAATTTTGCTTCTGTAGGGTTTGCCCATATGTTCTATATTGCATTAACCTGTATTGCGAATTCTAAAAGCATTCCTTACACAAGTAGCTCATACTGGAATTGTAGGCAAATGGACATCTTTTGCACGGCTTTTCAGCATGTTCTTGTACAAACATCCCACCAGTAGAAAACTCAGAGCAGAATCTGGCTGTAATTTGAATTAATAAAAACGTATACTTTTTCATTTACAGTTGCATAATATATCCTGTTGAAAATACTATATACAAGGAAAAATTCGCCCCCGTATTATTTTCGCCCCTTTCGCCCTCGTCGCAATAGGGCGAATTTAAAACGGGGCGAAATCAAAGAAAACAGCATTATCTCTTAAAGGGAACTGCCCTAACAAAACAATACTATAATAAACTAAAGTTAACTAACTTCTTAGGAAACATAAATACTACCAATAATTTCAGTAGTTCCAGCACACAGCTCTAATAAACTTTTGCCAAACTCGTCCAAAATACAGTGGTAAACAAAGTCTGTAGCAGAACAGTTCCGAGGAACATCCCCACAGTTCTTTTGCTTGGCTCTTTTTTCCCAAGTATCCTTATCTTTTGGACACGATTTGACGACTGTAACAGTTTTTAGTGAATCAGCACAAGGCTCTCTCTAAAAAACGAATAATGGTTAAATTAAGCGCATAAGGTACATGTATCAATAGCCGGTACAATATAATTGATGTATTAATGTCCAGTACAATCGATGGACCACTAAGAATCTAATATAAAACAATACTAAAATATAATTCAATTTGTTCATACATATAGTTTTCTGTATATGTTTGCAAACAGATCATGATAGTTATTTATGTACATGTACACCCCCATCTAAAACAAATGTAATAACTTTAATTTGTACATGTGTAATTTATATAATAACAGGTTATCATATGTTGCATAAAAGTATTGATAAATTGTTCGTTTGGTTTGGGGTCTGACTTCGTGATTTTGTCTATACACTGTAATATGTTGCAAAATTAAACATTTTATCTTAAAAAAAGAGAGTCAAGATAAAAACAAAATTAACTAAGAATCTGGTATCGTATCCTTGACTTTGAACATTTATGGTATCAACTTTGATCTTTTATAATTGATCAAAGAGCTTTATTGTTTTTTCCCTATTTGTTGATTAACATATATTTTTGGTATTCTGTTTTCTCTTTCCTGTGTATGTGTGTGTGTGTGGGTGAGGATTTGTATTTTTGAACTTTTGCTTTTCTTTTTATTATTATTTTATTTTTAAAAAATTCTGTCGAAAACGGGTTGCTTTTAAATTGAAATAAACTTGCTATGCCGTTTAATGTTGAATTTATGTACAATATATTATTTATCTCCATGTTTATATGTGAAGAATTTTATATTTATTTCGAAAGAGTTCCAATAAGGACGGAGATAAAAAAAAAATCTTTCCTGTTTGAATGCTTTTACAAAAATATAATAATAATACAGGAGACATTAAGATGCTATCTTTTTTTTTTTATTTAATCTTATCTTCATTGTAGCTACTTGGTAATTTTATATTAATTGTATCCAATTCTAAAAAAATCTACTGAGACAATATTAATTACTTTTTTGCAAATGTGTTTGAAAAAATCAATAAGATGTATGAGTTAAACGTCATAAAATATTATATTTACCGCCCCTCTTTTTTGTCTTTGTGATGCTAAACTTCCATTAAAAAGAATCAGAAAGAAGATACATATAAAAAGCTGGAATAAAACGCCTAGATCCGTTTTTATACCCTTTATACAAGTTGTGGTTGGACGTGTTTCCGTCTCCATCAGAAGGGTAGCACTCTGAAACACAAAAAAGCAAACATTTTTAACGGAAAGATAAAGATAATGGATATTTACAGATAGTGAAATGCTCCTGAATAAAATTAATATCTTTAGTAAATGAACATTAACTATTTAGATTAATAAATATGTTGGAAATCCTATTCAATAATGTTATTTTTCAAATTTGCAAATAACAGGAAATTGTGTCTTAATTGTAAAATTACAAACTGATATAGAAATTTAATTTTTTGGTGGCATATTTCTGCCCCCTACATGCAAGATAAACTAGGTGCTGTCATGAGACAGTAATACCCGCACTAAGGTGTTTGCCTCTAAGTGCACACTCCTTCATATTGGGCCTACCAAGGAAAAAGCCAAAATAATTCTATAATTTACACAGTACATGTATTCGTCAAATCGAGCATAAAATGCTCAGGTGACCATGTGACCTATGAGCCTCTTATAGGTATTTCCTTTACTTAATTCATTACCAGTCTGAAATAACAGAATTTAATTAATGATATAAATTAGGTTTTGATTAAAGGGGGGATATAAATTTTTGGCCCATAATTGAACTTTTTAAATTTATTTTCTCAACAACAAATAATAATATTTCAGTACACAGCGTTTTTAATGAATTTATCAAAATGTGCAAACTTTTATATTTAATTAGGCAAAAACCCTCTTGAAAAGCCATACCCAATGAATTGTGCCCCCCCTCCCCCCCCCCCCCCCCCGCACACAAGATGCCTGTTTTTGGAAATAGGCCTAGATGGCAATGTTATGTTAAAAACATCGTTTATTATGATACTTTAAAAATTGTTCTTGTACTGTACATGTATGTGTAAACCTTGAAAATTTCTTCATCACATTGGGCTTGCGTCACCCTACTAGTACTAGTTTTACCATTATCATTTTTAGATTGCACATGCATTCGGCAAACCTCGGCTGATTCTGTCACTTTCATCAAACGTTAGAACGTTAGATAAGGTACGAATCGGCCGAGGTGTGCCGAGTGATTGCACATGGTGCAGTGTGGTGTAGACATCATTACATGTATATCAGTAGGAATTAATTCATTTTGTGTTTTAATTGGATTATTTTTCATGAAGTTGACAGGACCTATGACAGTCGGTAAGTACAAATTTAAGTATAGATTGGGGTAAAATAAACCGAAATGCAAATGGTTAGGTTAAAGCTTATAAAGGATCAAAGATCATCGGATGCCACAGTAGACGAATTTCACATTCTGAAGAGTTATCTCCCGTTGTCATTCATTCATTCATTCATACTTGATTTCAACTTTGCAGTGATTAATGAATACTGTACAAAATACACAAAAAAGATTATCGTATGTTTAACATAACTACATGAACTGAAACTCGTACACATACAAAGGTGAATTGCTTGTAAACATATATATATATATATATATATATATTTGTTTGTTTGTTTGTTGTTTAACGTCCCTCTCGAGAATTTTTCACTCATACGGAGACGCCACCATTTGCCGTTGGAGAGCTGCAAATTTTGTCCTATACTCGGCACTTACGGCCATTGAGCATTGAGGGATCTTTTTCGTGCCAGCACCTACTGCGACACGGGACCTCGGTTTATACGGTCTCATCCGAAGGACCGGTCTCCACGTCCCACAGTGGGATTCGAACCTGCGACATAAGAATCAACTCCTTACGTCGCGACTCTACAGCAGACGCTCTAACCACTGCGCCACGCGGGCGTAAACATATATATAGAAAAAAGAAATATTTACAAAGTTTGAGACCACAAAATAGTGATCAATACCTTACTTCATACACATATGTCCTTGCGTGTTATCAACAAAAAAATCTATAGATGAACATCGGGAAAACAGAAAGATATAAAGGAGTGGGGAGCATCCCTCACTGACAAATTTGCAGTACGGAAAGATTGCGCTTATAGAAAGCACAAGCATCGGCAATGAGACGAAAGGTACGTAGCTTGAGTTTCGGAGGTGGAAGGCGGATAAAATGGTGTTCGGCTTACGGCCTAGAAGAATCAAGCACAGCTCATCATCTGTAAGGGCACACAGTTCAGCACACAAGTTAATGTCAAAGTAGTTAATTACATCCTCCCACCATTGATTGCGTATATCATATGTGATATGACAAGTAAACGACGCATGGTTAAAGAGATCAACGTAAAGAGTTCCACAAAGGGGACAAATTTATGTAGTTTCTCGAGGAGATTCGGAGACTTATTTGGAAATGAATTTGCAAAACGAAATCTCATAACAGTTTTTGGGTAGTCGCCAGAATAAAGCCGGATTTCCATCCTGAAATATTTTCCGGAAACGGACGAATCCTGGATCACCTGAAACACGTGTGTCTCTCCGGAGCTTATTGTATCGAAAAGTCGCATATCTCACTCAAATTAAGAAAACAGCCTGGTTAAGAAGATTTTCTTAGACAGAGTTTTGTATTCCAGGCGACACAGAAGCCAAAAAATAGTAGCTTCCTTGTATCAATCTCGGCTTGTATTGGAACAACTTCAAAAAGGTTTTCACAAATGTCAGACCTTGTTCTTGTAGGTAGATTCTGGGCATTTTTGACCACTAAATGTTGGAAGACTTTCAAGCGATGTAAATCATTTGAGGACATGTCATTCCATAATTCACAGCCGTAGAGTACCGACGTTAAGACAACTGATTTGTAGAGATGAGAAAGTGTTAAAGGGTTCAGGTACTGAGATCCAATATCATTAAGGGCAAAATACAGAGTTTTTCCCCTTTCGACATGCAGAAATTATCCTATCTGAAAGATTGCACTTTTCATTTATAAGAATACCGAGATGATTGCAGTTGTCCAGACAAGGAATGGTTTCGTTTCCCAAGAACCATACATAGTCGAAGTCTACTCTGACATTTTTTGCGCGGAATCTCAGATCTACTCTGACATTTTTTGCGCGGAATCTCAGAATGCAGGATTTTTGGGCATTGAACGTAAATCGCCATCTCCTGGAATATTCGAATGAAATGTTCAGCATTGTTTGAAGGGATGCAGGTGAAAGTCCTATGCATGCTAGATCATTATTCTCTATTGAGAAGTTGATGGCTCGTTTTAATACTCCCCCTCAACTTCTCTACGAAAGGCCTAATAAAAGCAGTTCAGAAATTGACTAAATGAAGAACCAAAACCGGGTCCCACTTCGATCGGTGTTTTAGGATTGATGCATCATCATAGACATATTTTGGATGCACAGATGTTGTTTTGCAATGGAAATGCGATTAAAAATACCGATTCTGCTGACTTAAAAAACATTCTTCACGGTAGAACACTTACTTGCGATATCTGTGTCACCGGATTCGTTTATTCATTCAAAACTGTGTTTGAACCCGGTTGACCTCTAAAAAAGTCTAAATTTATTTCTCCGGATAATTATTTAGCACGGAAACATTTGAGCCAATGTATCCGGATAAAATTTTTTAGACTTTCTTAGAGATCAACCGGGTTCAAACGCAGTCTTGAATGAATAAACGAATCCGGTGACACAGATATCGCAAGTAAGTGTTCTACCGTGAAGAATGTTTTTTAAGTCAGCAGAATCGGTATTTTTAATCGCATTTCCATTGCAAAACAACATCTGTGCATCCAAAATATGTCTATGATGATGCATCAATCCTAAAACACCGATCGAAGTGGGACCCGGCTTTGGTTCTTCATTTCGTCAATTTCTGAACTGCTTTTATTAGGCCTTTCGTAGAGAAGTTGAGGGGGAGTATTAAAACGAGCCATCAACTTCTCAATAGAGAATAGCTAGATCATCTGCCAGTGAGGGACAGCTACATTGAAATATTAAGAATGTCTGAGTAATTGGATGATTGTTCTAGAATATTAATCAAATCGTTAATGTACACAAGATACAAGAATGTAGAAAGGACACCGCCTTGTCCGACACCCCGCTGGACAGGAAACCACCTGGACTGAGATTGATTAGCTATAATAGCACTTGATGTATCAATGTGACAGTCCTTTAGTATAGACCAAAGTTTTCCTGTTACACCAAGTTCATATAATTTCAATAAAAGAGCATGTCTCCATACAGTATCAATGCCTTTGTACTATCTAGAAAACAAACATAAACATTGCTACCCTGTTCTAAATTATGAAAAATAGTTTCATGTAAGTTGAGGGATGCCGTCAAACAACCTAGCTTCTGTTGAAAACCTTGCTGTTGGGGATTTGGGAATGATTTATTAATTAACACATGTTGTCGACATTACATTCAATTACATGCACAGATCCAGGATTTTTTCTCCGGGGGTGGGGGTGGGGGTGGGGTGGGGGTGGGGGGGAGGTTCTACACCTCAGTCAAAAAAAAAATTTCCAGCCCAGAATTTCCTGAGAAGCAAAACAAAAAACAAAAACAAAAAACAGATATACTTCTGGTCACATCTCTTGTTCTCCCTTGAAACAGAAATTATGATATAAATATTTTAAGAATGATTAAGAGTTGAAAAGGTTGTGCATCTTAAAATTTACTAAGCTCTGTGGTTGAATTAGCTATACCAGTTTAGCTTATTTTGCTACTCAAAGCACCTTGATTAACTGTTTTTAATCATGCTTTTTCTGAAATGTGCAGTTTTTTCAACATTTCAGAAACAAGTCATACATTTTCAGCTTCTTAAAACAATGCATGAAAAAAAAAATGCTTTTCAAATACTGTAACTCTTTCCAAGTACATGTACTTGTGATCATAAGTTTTCAGCTCACTTGAGTTTTTCTGGTTTTCTGATCACATTTCGTCTGTCATCCATGTGTCCGTCTGTAAACTTTTCACATTTTTGTCTTCTTCACTAGAACCACTGGGCCAATTTTAACCAACCTTGCCACAAAGCATCTTCGGGTAAAGGGGATTCAAGATTGTTCAAATGAAGGGGTCACACCCTCTTTCAAGAGGGAATAATCAAGAATTAGTGAAAATTTGGTGGTGTCATTTAAAAAAGTCTTATCAAGAACCACTGACTGGGCCCAAAAAGTTGAAACTTTCTTTTACATAGACTCAGTGAAGATTCAAACTTGTTCAAATTATGACCCACTGGGGTAGGGTGGGCCACATATGGGGATCTAAAGATTTATATAGAAAAATGCAGGGTATTTTTTCCATCATAAATCTTCTTCTCAAGAACAGCAAGGGCATTATTGTCCCCCGTTTTCGCGAAAGGGACCTAGGGGACATTGAATCTCATTTGTCTGTCAGTCTCCCTGTTTGTCAGTCTGTCCGTCTGTCACAATAAATTTAACCTTGGTCATAACTTTTGAATAATAAGAGATAGGGCTTTCATATTTCACATGTAAATAACCTACAAGAACTTTCTAAATATACAATGATCTTTGAACTCATGACCATGACCTTGAAGTTTGACCTACTTTTAAAAAAAAATCAACATTATTTTAAATTGATCATTTTCAAAGAGAAAAGATAGGTCATTCATATTATACATGTATATTACCTGTGACAAAAACTTTCTAAAAATATCATGACTTTTGACTCTGTGACATTGACCTTGAAGTTTAACCTACTTTTCAAAAATGTTATATTTCCTTATAACTTTTGATTGAGAAGAGATGGGACTTTCATATTTGACATGTGCATTACCTGTAACAAGATGTTTCCGAGCATGCTATGATTTTTTACCCCTTGACTTGATGTTTTACCTAATTTTCAAAATTTTTAACTTTGGTGATTACTTTTGAATGGCATATGATAGGGCATGCATATTTAAAACAATATGCCATAAATAATGGCATCCCATCCACTCAGACACGGAAAACAGGGGACCCAATTCTTTGAATTTGCTTGTTAGTCATTTTGATATGGAAACATCCTCATATAGTGTAGATTAAAGTTTTTTATGCCCCGCCATGAATATGGCCAAGGCATATAGTGTTTGTCATGTCCGTCTTACGTCCTTCCATCCTTCTGTCTGTTCTTCCATCTGTCCTTCTGTCGCGCTTTGCTTTTAGCTCAGTTCAAAGCTTAGTTTCAGAGAAACTATTCAAGATATTTTTCATCAACCTTCATTAGCTGATAGTATTTGATAAGAGCTATGCAACTGCATCAACATTTTTGACCTTGACTTTTCCATTGACCTTGACTTCATTTTTCTAAAAATAGTGTTCAGCTCAGTTTTAAAGATAACATTAAAGATAGTGTAATCAAACTTCATAAGTTGATGCATACTGATGTAAGCTATTCAACTGCATCAACATTTTTGACCTTGACTTTTCCATTGACCTTGACTTCACTTTTTCTTTAGATTAGTGTTTAGCTTAGTTTTAATAAAATCATTCAAGTTACTGTAATCAAACTTCTTATGCTGATACATACTGATGTAAGCTTTTCAACTGCATCAACCTTTTTGACCTTGACCTTTCCTTTGACCTTGACCTCACTTTTCTTAAATTAGTGTCTAGATCAGTTTTGAATAAACAATTCAAGATATATTTATCAAACTTTATATGCTGATACATACTGCTGAGAGTTATGAATATCATAAACTTTTTTGACCTTGACTTTTCCTTTGACCTTAACCTCACTTTTTTAAATTAGTGTTTATCTACGTTTTAAATAAACCATTTATGATACTTTTCTTTATCTAACTTCATATGCTGATAGTAAATACATACTGAGGTTAGCTTTTCAACTGCATCAACATTTTGACCTCAACCTCTCCTTTGACCTTGACCTCTGTTTTCTTAAATAAGTGTTAAGCTCAGTTTTAAATAAATCCTTCAAGATATTTTTATCAAATATAATATGCTGACATGTATTAGTGAGAGCTATTCAACTGCATCAAAAACTTTTCAACTTGCACTTTCCTGTATCCTTGACCTCCCTTCTCTTTTATTTGTATTTTTCTTAGTTTTAAAGAATCAATTTAAGACATTTTTATGTAAGCATGCACTTATACATAATTTGGTGAGAATTTATCATCTATATCCAATTGTTTTTAGATTTTAGTTTCAATTTTAAAGAAACTGTTCAAGATATTCTCATCAAACTTCATACACTCATACAAATTTTCATGTTGCATTAGTAATATACATTCGGCTGGGCACTCATGTCCTATGGTCATATTTCTAGTTTTCAAATCATGACCTCCAAGGGTAGGGTCAGACCACAATAAGGGATCAAAGTTTTATATAAGAATAAAAGGGAAAAAAATCTTCAAAATTCTTTTTTTCAAGAACAACAAGAGCATGATTAATATGGAAACATTCTCAAGAAGTGTAGATTCAAGTTTGTACAAATCATGACCCTATGTGTTAGGGAGGGGCCATTTTTTCCTGCCCCTATTTGCCATCCACATGGAAATGCAAATTTTGAAACCATTTTACACATCCACAGGACGAAACCAATCATCTTCCAAATGATCATGATTTAAGGCTAATGCATAAAATATAAGGAAAGTTCTGGGAACCGGGATGTGTAAACATGTTAAATATTTAGAAAAAAAAAATTGAACCCTATTTGACCCCCAGGGTGAAAATAAACCTTAAAGCACATCTACAGGACACCACCAACCATCTCCCAAAAGATGATTAGGCTACTGTGTAAAATGTAAGAGGAGTTCAGGGAACCAGGGGCTTTTTGCATTAAAAACGTCATTTTTGGACCCCCATTTGACCCCCAGGGTGAAAATGAAAAAAACAAAACCTTACTGCACATCTACATGACACCACCAACCATCTCCCAAATGATGATTAGGCTACTGTGTAAAATGTAAGAGGAGTTCAGGGAACCAGGGGCTTTTTGCATAAAAAACGTTATTTTTGGACCCCCATTTGACCCCCAGGGTGAAAATGAAAATTCCAAAACCTTACTGCACATCTACAGGACACCACTAACCATCTCCCAAAAGATGATTAGACTACTGTGTAAAATGTCAGAGGAGTTCAGGGAACCAGGAGCTTTTTGCATTAAAACGTCATTTTTGGACCCCCATTTGACCCTCAGGGTGAATATGAAAATTCCGAAACCTTACTGCACATCTACATGACACCACCAACCATCGCCCAAAAGAAGATTAGGCTACTGTGTAAAATGTAAGAGTAGTTTGTGAAAGAAGAGTGTGACAGACGGACGGACGAACAGACGGACGGACGGACAGACATGAGTAACAACAATATACCCGAACTTTCTTTAGAGAATCTAACTTTCATGTTGGAAACTTAGTTACTAACGTCAATTTATGACATCACACAAGCAACAGGATATTATGTTAACATGCGACTAATTTATGTTAACAAGCAACTTATTTATGTTAACATGCAACTTATCTATGTCAACATGCAAGTAAAAAATGTTCACATGCGACTTATTTATGTCAATATACAAGATAATAATGTAGGCATGCAGCAGATTTATGTCATCATGCAAAATTATTATGTAGTCACGACTGATTTATGTCATCATGCAAATAATTATGTAGACATGCGAAATTGTCATATTAATTGTAAAAAAAAAAAAGCAAAAAAAAAAAAAAACAAAAAAAAAAACAGAGGTCTGCAACTTTTTCAAGTAGCATATAGCTGCATATTAATACCTTGAGTGTTCCAAGGAACGCATGTGTCGTCTGCTTTGTAGTTTCATTAAAGATGTAAATTAATCTACTAGTAATAAGCTTTTTTATTTACTATTAGCATGATAGTTCATGCATTTGCCTACAAAGAAAAATGGCGTCCATTGATAGTATAAGACTGCGATAGAATCTTACAATCAAAGCAAATATGATTCCCTTACCCTGAAGTGAATAATTAAATTGAAATTATTAAAAATAACTATTTATCGTTTTATTAATATGTGTCTGCAACAATCCCTCAAAAGAGATATCAGTCTGTCTTGACTGCAGTATATACGATTCATTGCGGAATACCGATCCCGGTGTAGTATTGAAATGAAAGTATGTGTTGTAACTGAATAACATACATTTTCAAAGTACAGCTTTATGAGCTCATAAGCATATATAAAATGCTAATAATTAAAAACCCTGCCTCTTAAAATTCAAAAGTAATAAATTAAACTGCCCTGGTTATTGTTTTGCAAATTAGGTCAAAGGTCAAGCTCAAGTGGATTGTAATGCTGGTATTTTTCAAAATGTTTTTGACAAACAGTTCAATGCTAAAAAAGGATAGAATTACCTCTTTAATGACAAATGTATGCTGTATATCGGCGCTGAGAAGAATTTTGAAAAGTGAGTGAAAGGTCAAGAGTCACAAGGTCGGTAACCATAGTAATTTCAAAGAGCCTTAGTGTCAAGCAATACATATGCAAAATATCAAATCCATACGTCTTACAGTTCTCGAGATATAGGGTGTGACAGTCAGACAAACAGACAGACAGACGCCAGGTAAAGTGATCCCTAAGTGCCGCTCTGCTCTGCTGGCGACACAAAAAGAGTACGCATGTCAATTGCAAGAGTTTATCTTTTATACAGGGCTCATATAGCAAAGGTTTTAAAAGGAGTTGCAACCTCCCAAATATCTGACAAGCAAAAAAAAAAAAAAGAAAAGAAAAGAAAAGAAAAAAAAAAAGAAGAAGGAGTAGAAAAGAAAAATTGGTCAAATTAAATAATATTCAATGTTAATCATCATCCCCAATCGTCTCAAGCCACGGCCCGGAGTCCGCATATAGCTCTCTCCTACCCGTGACTACTTGATCATAAAAAGCGTCGTAATCTTGAATATTTACACCTTTATATTGTGACGCTATGTTCAGCCAATGACAATATTTGTTTCCATCGCAACTGAAATCAACAATTGACATCAACAGTATACAAGAAATGTTTCGTATACTGCGATTGGGTATTGAAAGGTCGCGTCAAAATTCATTATCCGAGGGCGACTACGCTTTACTCGCATTGGTCAATATTTTAGTGAGCTATGAAATATTCTCTTCTCCTTCAACCACGGCCAGAATGGGAGAGGATCGTACATTTTGGCGGTGGTTTGCGACGATGATCATCCCCGAGCCTATAATTTATTATAACAATTTTTTTTAAAGTTATTTGTGTGCTTGTTAAGGAGATTAAATAGATTTTACATCATGTGGTCCATCACGGTATATAACCAAAGCTAATCATTTACAAGATCTGACAATGAAAATGAGAATGAATTCATTTTCATAAAATGGCATTTAGTATAGTGTAGAGACAGATTAAAAGTATAGTCAATTATATGCATGCGTAAAAAGATAAAGTACAATAAAAAATAAATAAATGAATGAAAAATAACATTAGCTAACCAGAAAAGCCAACTCGCTCAATGAAAGCTTTTATGAAGAACTACATTTATATATGGTTTTCCTCATATTTTGCTCGCATTATAATTAAAAATTTAAACGTCAATGAATTTAATTGAAATTGATATTGTTTGAAGGAATAGGATTTATATTTTTCTTTTATAATTACATTGATATATTAAATCAAGTTTAAAATATCTATGTTCGGATTTAAAGGTAAAAGTGCCTTAGTTTATAACAAAACAAAGAGTGGCATATTTTTGACACCGTCAGCTGCGATTTTATATATTTGCAACGCCTTGAACACGAAAGATATTTGCACATGTAAAGGATATCCATTTCTCGCAGTAATTCTCTTTTAGATCTTCTGAAGAAATGTCATTTATAAATTCATAGAAGTCCCCGTCTGCGTTCATGTTTCTAATCAATCTCCCTTGCAGAGTTGTCGTTCGTTTCTCTCTCAGACACGTCTACAATGGGCTCAGGTCAAGATTTTTGACATATCGTAAAAACATGACATTCCAAGGATTATTTGAAATCAAACAAATAGTTCTAGATATACTTAATGAATATCTACCTTAGAAGAGAAACATTAGTGCAGGCATTTAATTATAATGAATATAAACAAACGCACTATTTCTCGTGCTTATCACTGTGATATTCGCGAGCCAACAACAGAGGTGAATGTATGAGCCG